GGGGGTGGCGGCGGGGGGGAAACACGGAACGGTTGCAAAAAGGTGCCCACAATTCCGGGAATCCCCCCCCCCCTCCCCCCCCCCGCCCCCCCGCCCGGTTAGCAAAAAAGGAGGGCTATTAACGCTTCCCGCCGGCCGAGCTGGTGGTGACAAGCCCGAGCGTCTCGACCCCAATCTGGCTCAGCCCGCACGTGACGCACACCATGCCCTTGGCGGACAGTGGGTAGGCCGAGCCGCAGTAGGGGCACTTGCACGAGGGCGTGCCCCTGTAGATGGGCTTGAGAGACTGGCAGTCCACCTCGAACGGGTTCCGCTCGTCGTAGTCCAGGGTGTGTTCGTTGCGGGCCATCTGCTGGGACTTTTGCAACACCTTCTGCGCCTGCCGTTTTTATTTCAGGCGTGCATGCGTGTCAGTGAAGATATAAAAAAAAAAAATGCGTGTCAGTCAAGTGTTGAGTTGCGCGGCAGGCGAGCGCGAACATCGGCGCGTAGACGGCACACGTCCTGTAGGGGAGGTAGGTGCTCGATACTAGCAGGCGGTGTGAATGAATCCCTTACGGGAGAAAGCTGGCTCGAGCCTCTTGCCGACGGAGGAGACCTAATAACCCTATCCTTACCCTGTACTAAATACCTTGCACGCACCGAAAAAACAAACGACCACAACCGCCTGCGACACCACGACCATGACCAGCGTCGCTAACTGACTTCTTGGTTCAGCCACCTTGATCAACACTTCGGCGGTGTGTACGCCAAGACCGCACCGACGATGCCACCAAACGTCCATGAAACAGCTGAAAACAATAGCATAGAGAGAGAGACATAACAAGACACAACAGACAGAAACGCAAAGGCCACACAGCCGATACCGCAATTGCCACACAAAACCATGGCCATACATATCCGGTGTTTCACCACCCCCACCTTGATTCGGAGATCCGCGTGACGTTCACTCGACAGGTCCGGCAGCTCGAGCAGGCGCTGCGCGAAGCTGGCGGCCGTGATGAAGTTCTTGCCCTTAAACGCGCTGGCCATGGCCATGCGGAGGGCCAGCAGCAAGTGCGCCGGCTGCAGGTTGCAGCAGGTGAAGTACGCCAACAGCTCCATGCTGCGCACCTGCCGAGTGTGCGGTGAGCGGAGGCAGAGAAAAGGGCGACTTTATTCAGAGGTGCGTTGTGATTGGCGGAGGGACTATCACACCTACAAGTCTATTCCTCTCAGGCCACGCACAGTATTAACGCGGCACAGAAGCTCACCAATACACACAACACAAGAGTACAAAAAAAAACTAAACGTTGGGCGTCACGAAAAAAACTAGACGTCGGGCGTCACACTTGGCACTACGCATATGCAATGCAAATATACGGCATCCTAGCCACAGAGGCAAAAGGGGTGCGCGCCGGACCCACAGCGCGAAATCCACTCCGGCGCAAATAAAAAGGTGGCGGGCGGAGGGAGCGCTCGGACACGACGCCAAAAAAAACACCACCAGCAACGACACACGCACAAAACAAAAAAGGCGAGGGGGAACATCTGAGTCATCTTGTTTCGTCTTCTCACCGTATCCTTGGTCTCAGCGACGGCGGCCTTAATCCGGATGGCGGTAACGTACTCGCGGCAGATGGAAAGCAGCTACCAGCAGTACATGGTACCACGCAACGGCAGGGTTGACACAGAAAGGGGGGGGGGGGGGGTCGAGCAGGGAAGGAGCAGGGAAGGAGAATGAGTTGGAGGGAATCGGTTGCGTTGAAAGTAAAACTTACACCAGTACCATCGTGGCGCCGAAGGCTTGGACACAAGATGACTCCAGCAATGTGCCGATGTGACACGGCACTGCATACGCCGTCTCCCGTACGGATGACTCAACATCAAACGAGAAAAAACGGGAGACTGCGCCCTTAAAGAAGGAAAAGGGGTTCTCCGTGCTTCTGTTACCGCTCAAAATGCTAGAAATTCACAGATATACACCTTCGCCCTCCATGCCGGTAGAACCCGTTGACTAGAAAGCGTATTCGCGTTTTCTTACCCCGCTACAGCTACATGTACAAGAAAGACTCGTTGGTCAACCGGTTGTACAGCAGTACAGTAGCGCTGTCGACACACGCAAGTATTTTCATTGATCAGTCGGTTTGCGCGGTCGATGCTACTAAAATACGTAAAGGATACACTCAGGTCATGACAAAAACACACACACATTAACATACGCACACACACACCTCCTTGAGCTCGTTCCCCTCAGCCCGCGTCTCCCCGACGACGAGGGGGACAGCCCTCAGGATGAAGTCGAACTCCTGCCGCGACTCCGCGAAGCTCCCCATGGTGAAGGCCTTGTACGCGGCCTTCAGCCGGTCCAACAGAACCGATGCCTTGAGGGCGACCGCAGGGAGGGAGTTCTAGAGAGGAACAGGAAGGTAAGCACAGCGGGGGGTGGGGGGGTGGGGGGGGGGGTATGTTAGGAATACGCCCGGGGGGGGGGTCACGCATCAACAAGCAATCTATGGTAGGGACCGGGAGGGGGGGGGGGGGAACGGTAAGGCAAAAAAAAAACCCCCCACAAATTTCCC